GTCAGAGTGTAACTTTCCAACATTTACGTAGTCTTCTTACTTGTCTCTCTTCTCCAAGATATAGAAACTGATTAAAAATACCCAGTGTAATTTGGCAACTTTTAATAGTACCATGCATCTATTTATTAAAGATAATGTAAGTGTTGATGACACCTTTTTTACTGTGCTGTATTTAATATTTCAGCTTTTCTGCAGAGGGTAGTCCCTTTGCTGTGGACTCCAGTGGCATTGTGAGAATGTTAAACAGAAGATTTGGTTCAACTTGGATGCCAGTGGCAAACCTTAGGTCTCATGTAAGAAGCCAATTATAGTGTTTTGATGTGATTGTATCCACAAGATTCACAGAGGCCAGTAAATGAGAACTGCATGTTGATCCTGTGGATTTTCCTAATTTTCTTTTATTTTGAGTCAGATGTTTTTTGCTCTAATTCTAAACTTTATCAACATAACACCTGGTATATTTTACCAAGGGATGCACTTTGCATCTATAAAAGATATAACATTAATAGATGGTTGATTGTTCCCTACTTTCAGGCAAAGGGGAAATCTGATAACTTCTGGATGGTTGGTGTATGCGAAAATCCAGAGCAAATAAGGTGAAGAATATTTCTGTAAAAATCTATTCTTGTATTTTTATTCTGATTTGAAAGAAAATCATTTATTTAAATATTTGTTTTATTTATTTGCATAATGTGCTATACAGAAGTAAGTCATGATATCTTCATCCTTGTTTTCTTGCCACACAACTTCGTGAAGAGTGCTTTGATGAAATGTTTTGGTATTTTGTAGATGTGTACCGTGCAAGGGTTCTGTCTATCCCCCCACCCTTCCCCGGCCTGCTGTCACCATTCTGCCCTTCCAACTGCCTTTGTGTGAACTCACCACTGAGAAGGGACAGTTTGAGGTTTGTACTATTTAAGTTTGTTATGTTGTATGATACTAAAAATGCTGAGTATTATTTGAGTATTATTATGCACGTGGAAACTGAAAGATGTACATTTTCATTTAAATGTAATTGTTCATCCAATATTTTAATTATAGTGTATATTGAGTATTATTTTGTGCAGTTGGCAATGGAGAGGTGTGAATTTTCAATTTGGTGTTGATGTTCAACAATTATTTTAATCTTACTGCTTCAATAGGTAAATAAATGAAAATTAGGGAACATAAGAACATGTCTTTTAAAGCACTTTAACATTAAAAATGGATGAAAATGTCTATTCTGTCAACCTGATCTGAATATTGTAGGAGAAACACTGGCGTAACCACATCCTGACAGGTCACTATGACTTCTGGCGGAGTATGGGGTGGGAGGTGGAGGAGGGGGACATGGAACAGGCCAGGAAACCCATGACTGAGGCTTTGATGCAACTGTTTGCTGTAAGTGTTTTTATAGCTTGTTTAAGGTTATGTGGAGAAGTTTCCTGTCTTTACTGAACATTAAGATGTTCTTTTGGTCTAAATGTTTTTGTTTGTTTTTGTATGTAAATATTTGATTTGAAAAGAAGAAATAACAAAGATTTTTTCTTAATTTTTTTCGGGCTTGTAAATATTGATTTTTAGAGATAAAATTTCACCATCAGTTTTCCCCATTTTCCATATGGACAGTTATCTTGCAAAGCTGACAGAGAGTTCCGAGCTATAGAACTGTGTGAGATGATGCCCAGTCAGCATGCTGTCCAGTTGGCCATTAAGTATGCCAGTCGTATGAAGAGAATGCAATTGGCAGAGAAGATCAGTGATGTGGCACGGCAGAAGGCAGAGGAAGAGGCGGCAAGGCTACAGCAGGACATGGAAGAGGAGGAGGAAGAGGAACCACACTTTAGAAATATTTTGAGGACAGCGTGAGTTATTAATGTTTTCCTTTAATTAAAAGAATTGAATAGTCCTGTATAGTTTTGACTTAAAAGAGCATTTTCGCAAAGTTAATAAAGGTATAATTTAATACAAAGGTGGCACTTCACTTTGAGGAAGTTTGCATTGCTTTTCATTTTTTTCAAGCAAAATTATCATATTGAAGTGCTTTTATGTGTATCTCTTATCAGTACATTTTGATTTAATGGAAAATGATGTGATTTCTTCTCTTTGATATTTACCTCAAAATGGTATACATTTTAGCCGTTACAAGACCACCACAGAATGGTCGGATAGAACTGAACAAGATGAAGAGGAGGAAGACATGGAACAAGAGGATGCAGAGGAGGAGGAAGAAGAGACACACAGTTCAGGTAATAATGCTTAAATTTCAAAATGATGGCTAGGAATAAACCAGTTGATGTCTGTGTGACAATTTCTACCTTAAACTTCTGCATTATTAGTTATGTTGTTTGATGTAAAAGGAATAATTTTTTTACAGGAAAATAAAACTGGAAAAAGATTGAAGTACTTAATATGTTGATTTATAGTATTTGGTTTTGAATGATAATTTCAGGGCCAATGCTACATTTAAATCAGAAAAAAGAAATGAAAACAAAAGCAACAATACAGCTAAGTGGAACAAGGAAAAATCCTTTTAAGGTAAACTGTGAAATTAAACTTGTATGAACTCCCAGGAAGATTGAACATTGCATGGATAGTTTGTAATTAGATTTAAATGCAGGTATATTTCATTCGTAACATTGTCATAGAAAAAAATTATCAAAGATAGAGTTGTATCATTATAGTGAATTTTACCATTTCACAGTCAAACACCAAAACAACCCCCACATCAGTGAGAGGAACAAGTGTGTTTGATGACATGAAGAAACAGCAAAAGTCTTCCAAGAGCCCTGTTGGACTTGGCACTGAGCAGAAGACACAGAAGAAAAAGGTGCATAGTTAGGATAAACTTGAGATATAGATAATATTATTGGATAACAAGTGTGTATTATTTGTCTATCATTAATATATAAATGTTCACAATAGTGTTCGTGCACCTGTATTTGTAAAAGAAGCATGATATTCTTCCTGATTTAATTTAATATCACAATTTTAGAGAGAATTTAGATATACATTATTATAGAGTTCAGTTTATTTTTGATCATTCATAGGGTCCTATGCAGATGAAACTTTTCCAATCCAAGAAAGAAAAGGAAGAATCGGAAACACAACAAGCACAAACTCCGGAAACTCCAAATAATAAAAAGTAAGTTGAATCAAGAACTGAATGAAAATAGGAGGAGCATTAAAATTCTTTCTGAAAGAATATAAAAATTCAAGTTTTTTGAAGGAGCTTGATACTAATAATTTTATTTCTGTATATTCTTTGTTAAATTGCAAGCTATTTTTACGGCATTCAGCAGAGAAAGTAAATCATTCAGACAACTCGATCACATTTTTAATCAACTTGATATTGCTTTGCTCTTTTTATCTTATGATTTTTTCAGTGATATAATTTGTATTCCCAGTATCATAAACTGATTTCTGTTTGTTTCACCAGGCGAGCCAACCCCTTCCAGTTGTGGCTAGAAGAAAACAAGAGCAGACTAGAGGATGAGAATCCAGGTTTGGAGGAGGCAGACTTCACTGTAATAGCCACCACAGAGTATGCCAGTCTGCCCAGAGAAGAAAAGAAGGTACATAGTGCACTAGGTTTTACATTTTTGTCAAGGAGCTTTGTTTAGTGGCTTTTGTCCCATTGCTCCACCTAGCTGTTATCAATCCTATGTTGTCATCTTTCTGTGAGGTCTTATTAAAAACTCTATCATACTATGGAGTCAGATGATTAGTAAATTTGTGAAATTTTGAATCAGTTAAAAACATATCTAAATATATTTCATACAGATTTCTACATGTTGTTTTGCAATGATGATCTTCAATGTTTGAGCTGAAAGCCTTCACAATGCTGTACACTGAATTGTCTTGAATACCATTGTTCCAATAGAAATGGATGGAAAAGGCCAAAGCAGCATCTACTCCAGTCACACCTAGCACTCCAACCTCAGTGCCAACCACTAACACAGAAGACACTCCAACTTCAGGGACAGACAAAAAGAAGAGAAAAAGAGATGAAATGGATGAAAATGACCAAAATGAAACAACAGAGTCCAGCAAAATAAAGAATAAAATGGACAATCTACCCAAGAAGAAAAAGCCATTGTCACAAAGCACCAATTCGAAACTGGCTGCCTTCAAAAGGGACTGAGATTTCTATGTTTTATGTTACTGTTGTAAAGATTTGTTTATTAATCTGGGTTATATTGGGTCAGAAATGAAGTTTTTTTAAATCATAAATCATTGTCATAGATCAACCTCTTTGTCTCTTCTGTGTGATCACAGTGGGGAATCAATTTGGCTAAAAACTGGTTCAATCACTTTATGATTCAGTCCCTTCTAGGTTGTTTTATTTCTTGTACACCTACAAAATGTATTTTAATAGTTTTTAAGGGCTTCACAACTTGATTACTCTAAAGACTTGTTTGTATATTTGATATATGATGATAATATATATAATTCAAAACCATGTATGCTTTTACTTTTGTTAGAAAATTAATGATAAAATAATTTCTCTATCAACATCCTCAATTCCATGACAATATTTTGGCACATACAAGAAAAAGACCAAGACGAGAGTAATTGTCCAGTATTGATCTCAAAAGGGAAAATCTAATAGCAAAACCAGCCTTGTCAACCTTCTGGTGAACTTGGGTGAAGCAAGGACCTGCGTAGGAAAATACGACTCGTGGTGTACAGGCTGTAATCAGAAAAACCAAACTAGTTGTACAGCATATGGATTAATCTTTTCTTCGTTACAAAATTCTTTTTGTGCAAAAACAAAAAGCTGTATTTTAAATTTCTCCTGACTTTTAGTTTAAAAGGTTGCCCATTACCACTTCATGCTTCAAGTGTCCACTGAATTAGAAAGGCAGATTACATAAAATTGAATCATTTTTTTCAGATATAAAAACTGGAGGATTTTAAAACCCCAAAAAATCAGTTTCAAGTTCTTAATGTCACATATAATAATGTCATCATCTCTTCAACGCTAAATCTTTCCAGGAAATGTAAAGTACGGGTGAGGGGATCTGCATAAAAATTGAATGTTTGATCACAGTTAATTTCTCTTACTAAAAACAGGTTAGTATAATGCAAGACAAGTCCACTTATAGTATTTTTTAGTTTTATTCTATATTTTCATGCTTTTCTTTGATAAAGTATATAAATCCCAGCATGATAAATGTAGAAAATAACTTTTCACATTTATAACAGCCGAGACACCAACTTCACATGTAAAGACACTTTTACAAACCAAGAATTCTTCTTTCAAATTGATAATGGAGTCGCATTTATGATGGTTTTGTATTTTCATTCCATCTACAAATGCCCTTCAGTAATTACATAATTACAAACTGAAATTCATATCCCAGACAATGTTCAGACTTTTTATCAGCTAATTGCACTGCATTAAAATTTAAATTTCACTACTTCATTATTTCCTGTCCAGCAGCAATGTTACCCCACCTCTTCCTTTTTCAATAAATTGCATATTGACAAAAAAGCAAGATTGGGGATATTCCCCTCAATGTTACACAAATAACTAAAAAAAATTGAATTTTTGCCTCATGTTAGACAAAAACAAGTCTTCCCCATACTTCAATGAGAGAATTAATTGTCATCCTTATGCTGTCATTTTTCTTGATGGAATATATTGGTCCAGTGATGAAGTGAAAAATATCTCGTTCATATCCCTCCCTTTAAACTTGTGTGTGATCAAACTTGGCATCATGCACATCTGCCGTTTGATAACAGAACGAAGTCGTGCTGTCGTAAAAAAAAAAATCGCACCCTTTTCTGATAACTGGCAACTGATGTCACCAAGCTTCAAATAAAAACTTGGGCTATTCTGTCCCTCCATCCTCATCTGGACTGTCGCTATGGTGACTACTGCTGTCCATGTCCTCATCTTCATCTTCCCTCTCATTTGCATCCAACTCCAACTCCTCATCCAACTCCAACTCTTCCCAGTCCTGAAAATGAAACAAGTACTGTGTCAGACTTGTCCACTTAATTCACAAAGGTTTAAAAAAAGGTTCCAAATCACTTCAATAATTCAGTGCCATCAACGTAAGCTATTACAAAATTCACTTCAAAC